ATGTGGTAGAAATTATCAACCCTTTCAAAACTTAATAAATACATTGGGTTTGTTGTTCGCATGTATAGATATAAAATCGATCATCCTTACAATCTACTCGTTAGTAGCATAATTTATAATACATCTAATAATTTCAAATATCATGAATATAGTAAAGTAAATAACTATAGGCAATCAACTACAAATTATATGAGTTATTTTATATTTTACTTTTATAAAATTTATGTGATGAAACAAAACTTGATTTGCAAAAATGAGCTTATTGTATTCAACATCATGTGCAATATTTACTACTTCTATTTCCGTTGGTTAAATTAGAATGGTTGGCTAAGTATTTGATGTTATTGTAATTTCAGTTTGTATGTTGGCGCTTTTATTTAGTTTTCATTCTTGCTGTTTGTTGGGGAATTCTTCTCGCCACCTACATTGGTCGCCGTCTTCCCGCAAACCGCTTCTTCTTTCTTCTTCTTCGGAAACTTCTGACGGCAAGTCTGAGCCTGGTTGCGCCTTCTTCTGAACTCTCCCAATAGCTAGCTAGTTCCTTCCTCGTTGTTTTCAGCCTGTCTTCTCTCGTCAGACTGCACTCTCAATGCAGTGAATTAATAGTAATACCTGCACACAAAAATAACAAGAAAGACAATGGCTCGAGACGCGTCAGACGCTGTCCTCAAGAAAGTATTTCCGACAGCCGGAAATCTTCCCCCAGGATATAACGAGCCCTTCGGCGATTAGCCGGACAAAGAACTACGAGGATATAACCAAAGTTTGTAATCCAGCAAGATATGTAGTATATTATTAGAGAGAATCGTAAGAACATCACTGAAGTTATATTATGTGCAAAATCTGAAATGTAATGTTTAATTTTTGTGTGTGTATTGCAACATAGCTTTTTCTATGGAGAAGTAGTTCCTTGTTTTTTTTGGATTGTTGGAAGCAGTAGCTAATATCTATATTCCCGTTTGCATCTGCTACGTTAGAGATATGTAATTCCATCAAAAGTGGTAGTTATAGATCCTACTAAAAAGGAGATAAAGATGGAGAGCCAAGCATTTAATCCATGCACGTTACAAAACTTGGAAGACCACTCCATCACTAATATAATTGAATAGTTTAATTAAAATAATTAAATGGATTTACTATCCATTAAAATCATACGTTACTAATTGATCAAAATTAAATTACACATTTTTGGTGTAATACTTTAATTTCTTAGACAGTTGTAATTTGCTTATATTAAGACTATTTTGAGCTTAAACCAGGTGAAGATCATCAAAAGGATCAAAATTGAACCTTGGAAGATCAAGGAAAGTGTAAAGTGACAAAACAAAAAGAAGAATTGAAAAATTGTTCATGTACGCGGTCGGGTATATGTAATACCCGATCGGATATTGACCGAATTCTTGTGTCAAAATCAAATCCGGAGAACAAAGTAACATGCAAGATATTTTTATCAAGATTTGTCTTATACCCGATCGGATAGACCGACATACCCGGTCGACTATGACATGAAATGTGAAGCTTCCGGCCACTGCCAAGGATACCCGATCGGGTATCCTATATACCCGGTCGGGTATCGGACCCTGCCACCTCCAAAAGCCTATGAATACGTCTCTTTTTCTTCCCGTTAAATTCATTAATTCACATAAACTCTTAAGCTCAGTTTAGATAAATGTTTTCTTTATATTTATTTCATGTTTAGTCTCCAAATGAGGAGCTAAACGATTCCATCTTGATTTTGCTACATTGAAGCTTGTGTTTTGTAAGTTGTGAATTATTTTCTTTATTCATCTTCTATTGAATAATAACTACATTCCTATTTATACCTCTTATTAATATTTGAGCATTACTTAAAGGATCAACTAGCTACTTTTGTTTTCATATTAATTATTACTAGAATCGATCGACGGATACACTTGTTATCCGCTTGGTCTTTTCAACATTAGTAACCTTAGATTACTAATGCATGCGTCTCATAGTTAATAATCTAAGGGGATTAATTATATTGATTAAACCAATAAATCGCTTGTGTTGAGGTTGTCAATCTGAGCTGATTTCATCTACAGTTTTATTACTACTATTCGGTCAATATAAGGCGTGCATTCTATATTGATTAGATAATAAGTTTTATTAATGAATGTGTCTCGTTATTAATACCTACTCCCAATGAATTGGAAGTACTCCTACTCCATGACTGAGTATTCAAGAGGAGATAGTTAAAGTATAATCAAGATCGACGAACATTTCACTAAGTGGGGAAATAAGCAAAATCAAGTCTCCATCTCTATTGAATTAATTCACATAAGTCGTTCATCTTAATGTTTATATATTCTCAAGTTCAAACAATCTTAAAACCCTGTTGAGGTTTATTCCTCTAGGGCCCAACACTCCCCTTGAGCTTTCTTTGAAATTTGGTGAGTTGGATATATTTTAGTGGATTATGCATGTGGACTGTTTGATGGCACTAGTATCGGCAAGAAATAGTAAAGAGGTAAGTGGCCCAAGCTCTATTCAAGACTTAGAACAATTACAACACACTCTACTGAGCAAAGCGCAAACGTCTATTCTAAGTTGTGATTACAGAAAAAGTAGAGAAAGGTTATAGCTAGATAATACGAGTTCTCAACCCCGAACAATAAAATGAATGATACTATTGATACTACCATGAAGTAGGTGATAGTGACGATGTGGATGATCTTGAGTGTCTAATCCCCAACCATAAAATATTGCACATCTGGTGCATTAAATGCGTTTCCCGCCAAAATCCTTGCTTTACTGCCAACTAAACTGACCACATCGGCATAAAGTCCTCCATAGTTAGCCAAGTTGAATCACCCAAGGATACAATGCCACAAGGCGTGTACTGCGCGGGACGAGCCGTGCGACCGTGGGACCTTAACAAGTCTTTGGACCCATTTATGCGCAGGGGAATTGGTCCGATCTACATTGAACCAATTATCCCAACACAAGTCCCCCACTTCTGATGTTCCGAGCGTGCGTGGGATATTCTAGAGCATTTTATACTCCTTGTGATTATCATTCTCTAAAATTTGTCCTTTGTGATATGGCTATGAGTTGTGCACACGCAAAAATATCTATAAACTATTTGCAAGTAAGTTTGTAATTTATTGACTTCAATTCAATAGTTTTTATTACTTTTATTTAATTACTAATTAACTTTAACAATATTCTTTTTATGATTAAACACATTCGAATTTAGGTTCAACCAAACGATGGAAGGTTCACAAGATTTACCTTGAAGATGGTGATGGAAACGGTCTCACTCTTAAATCATGGTCAGATGCATGTTGGGAAAGTCATGTTGCTAGTGGGAGAGCTGTCAGGTTTCAAGGGCCATAGATAAAACAAGCACCAAAGCACTCGATCAAATATTCAAATGTAGTAATGATTCTAGCATTGTGAATGATGCAAAGTCCATAAGTAAGTATGAAATGAACTTCAATTTCCTTGTTGCTATGGTAATTTGGTATGAGATAGATACTCAACAAGGTAAACAAAGTTAGCAAAGTCTTCCACCAGAAAGATATGACCACCAGTTCAACTATTACTCTCTTGAAGATTTGGTTGCATATTTTAAAGATTATAGAGAAGATGGATTTAAGAAAGCCAAAATTGAAGCTGAAAAATTGGTTATTGAATTAGATATTCAACCCCAATTTCGTAAAACATGAGTTTCTGTCAAAAAGAAGTTTTTTTTTTATGAGAATGCAATGGATGAACCGATAAAATCTACAGAAAGTGTATTCAAGTCAACTTACTTATTGTTTGTCTTGATAATGCTATATCTTCACTTACTATTAGATTTGAGCAGTTTCAAAAATATGAGAATACATTTGGATCCTTGTATGACTTAAGTAAGGTGAAGGGGCTAAGTGATGAGCAATTGGTGAGTTACTGTGACATGCTTGACATTTTTTTGAAGCATGGGGACGATTGTGATATTGATGCAGTTGAGCTGTTTTCGGAACTACGATTGCTTGAAAGATCCTTATCCAAATGCACAACAAAAGTGATCGAAGTGTTGGAGTACATAAAAGATATGCATATTTCTTTTTCAAATGCTTGGATTGCTTACAAAATTTTGTTGACTATTCCAATGACTGGCTACTGCGGAAAAAGGCTTTTCCAAGTTGAAGCTTATAAAAAACTATCTATGCTCAACTATGTCAGAAGATAGATTAAGTGTCTTAGCTGTGTTATCGATTGAAAAAAATGTTAGCTAGTATTGATTGCAACAATATAGGCAGACTTGAATTTTGAGGCCTGACCGGCTGACCCAGCCAGGCCCGGACCCGGTCAGAGCCAAACGGTTAGTTTTTAAACAAATATATACTCCCTCAGTCCCATTTTATAAGATATCTTTCCTATTCACTTGATCAACACAAATCACTCTTAATCTCTTACTTTATATATCAAAATTTTATGAAACTTGAATTACTTTTTGCAGGCTTTGTAGCGGTTTTAATGTAGTTTCTGAATATGTAAATTTTATTTTCTAAAACTAATTTGAGTGTTGACAGGGATCGATTTGCTTTATCGTCTGCCAAACATCGTAAACCGTAAAGTGCCTTATAATTCGGAACGGAGGGGGTATATATAATGGGCGGGTACTAGTCCGAGACCGGTACTATTTGGGCCCGAACCGGTACCGGTACCCATACTGGTTCGAAACCGGGGTCAGTACCAGACCTGATTTTTCTAGTACCGAAGCCTGCCAGGATCCGGCCCGAATCCGGACCGACCCGGCCCGAACCCACCCCTAACTCACACACCTTACTTTGATCACGACTTTCTACGACCTTCTACTAATATATATAATCAAATTATTATGTATAAAATGTTATAAAATATCTATTAATGTGAATTTTCAAAATATTAACTTTTTATAATATTTACTAATGTGTAATTAAATATAATTACAGTTAAAGTTGTGCGTTGGCATACATGAAAGTCAAATTGTTGCAACTAGTAAAGAACGGAGGATAGTACTCAAAAGTGATTCTCAATTTTATACAACGGAATTAGTATCAAACACTTGAGTCAAAATCACTTTATCATGCAACAAAAAAAAACTGGATTTGGTTTTGCTTTATAGAGAGAAGCACACATAGTCATTTCCAAACACTTTTACTATATACAGTGAGCTTATAAAAGCCTGGCATTCAGGGAGTAGCATCACACTCAAATAGGAGAATCTCAAGCACAAAATAAAGCACCAGTAATAGTAGGGACGAAAACGAAATCTATATATGATTTTATGATATAGATTTTTATCAGAATATATGTCAAGACTAGTTGATAAGGCGAGTGATTTTATAGTCAAATATGACTCATTGATGGACTCATATAGGCTTACTTGGCATCACTTACAGTCTTTAACTACTCGATCTCATAGAGGAATGTCCTAAGTGAGAGGTGATGTTGGTAAGGCTACTCCCTTACTCCATATTAAGGAGTCATAGATGGCTCCTCATAATTTTTGAAGCCAAGGCCACCAATTGCATTTACGATCGGATTTTATTACAATCCAGTCAGGATGGTCAGAAGCAACAACCACCACCAGTTGACTGTTGATATTCTTGTTTCTGCTTTAAGACATTCCTCACCGTGGCACATCCCTTTTCCAAAAAACTTGGCACCTGCATTATCTGGAAAATTTAATCTCTTAATTTCCAAATGTACACTGGTTTAGGATGGTTTAGAATGTGCATAATGTGGACAATCAGCACCTATTAAGCCCAATATTTTTCTTAGCATGTCACTAAAGCTTTCACAACCAGTTGCCAGTATATGGGCACCATATGAGAAAAATTAAATGGATCACGGACAGAGATCTTGGCCGAGCATGGCATTGAAGATTGTTCCAAGTCAGTTAAATATGAAGACTGGACCCCTTCATATAGGTTGGACAATCCTCGCCTCTTAAAAAGTTCTTTTTGGTTTGAGGACAACATTCATTTCAACACAGAAATAATATAACATGTTTTTAGGTCCAAAACACGTGAGTAAGTATGATTACCTTTAAAGCAACTTCTTCAAAGCACTTTTCCACATTTTCTTGTGTCCTTGCACTACATTCAAGAAATAAACTCCCAAGCTTATTTGCAAGCGCTATACCTTCCTCCCTGCTGACAACTCTATCAGGCTCCTAATGTTGCATGGATTGTGGAAAAGAAATAACCAAAGATTTGTTTAATAATGCAAAGGGTTGCATACTTACAGTTCTTATATAAAGAGACCACTATTCTTTTCTCCACCAAAGAGAAGGAACAGGGAAAAGGAAATTCTTCAAGAATCTTACCCTGTCAACTTTGTTTCCAACAAGCATTTTGATACAATCCTGGTTAGTTGAGTAAAGCTGCATTTCTTGTGCCCATACATCAGATATATTTATGAAGGTGCCTCTCTTTGTCACATCATAAACTGCAATCAGCAGAAAATATAACCTGTTTTTAGTGCTCTCTTGTTAGTAGAGTATATAGAGAACTGTACTACTAGAAGTGCATGGACTTCCTAATCTAGTAACATATTCCTTACGTACCAAGGATGATTGCCTGAGCACCTCTATAGTAAGAACTTGTCAATGTTCTGAACCTTTCCTGGCCAGCTGCAACAATTAAAGTAATAAATTCAGAGCTAAGTTGTTCACTGGATTTGAACAACAACAACATTACTCATGTACTAAAGCATGGAGAGACTGTTTCCTGATGACTCAGGATGAAATGTTACTAGATTTGAAGAAAACTAAAAACATATGGTGGTTTTCTAATGGTTCAGACGAAAAGGATATTGCAAGAATTCTATTAAAGAGCAAAAACAGTATGCATGAAGTAGTGGCGTGGCAGTTTTACTATAGGAGGAACCAGTCGGAAATTTGAATACCGAGGCCGCCAAAGCTTCATATTTCAAAACACTTTTATTGATTGAAGTATTAGCACATATGCACACACACTTAAAACAACATGTTTAGGGGGATGGAACACCCCTAGCTCTGCCAGTCTTATTTTTAACATTAAAAAGGAAAAGTTATGCAGCATTTCCAATTACCTGTGTCCCAAATGGTAAGTTTCAATCTTTTCCCACCAACGGTTAGTGTCTTAATCTTAAAATCAACGCCTACCATAAGCCAAAGAAGAAGAGTGCATCATTGGTGGAGCTCAAAATATCAGATGCCAGGTAGCACAAACGTATAACTTTCCAAAATGTTAAAATCAAATTGGGACCACACTGCTCTATTAATGGTACAGTGTTCATCCCAAGTCAATATCAGGCTCTTATTTTTCATTTCTCTAAAAGCAAGACCGGTGGTAAATTTAACTATGAAAACCCAAGTTTGACTCCTGGTATAAGCAGCTACTTAAGACAGACGCATCATACATAGTATACCAGGGGCGGATCCAGGAATCTGAGAGTCTGAGACGCCCTGGGCTGAAGAAAAATTATACTAGGCTTAAACATTAATGGGGTGGGCTAAATATGAAAAATGAAAACATCAACATTAAAAAAATGAAAAAAATCAAGTTACTCCGAGTTTCAGCCTACCACAGACAATATGTAGATCCTCCCTGCACTATACTAATGTGTCTAAAAATTAGCTGATATTCTTTTCTCCAACTTTACCCATATAACCATCTATCTTCGTTAAGAGTCATGGTTTACTTATAAGACCCTGTTTGCTAGATGGAAGCATCATCTTTCTTTTTAAAAGTGCATTGTCACGTGCAATTCAGCATAGTTACACTTAAACCCAAATGCACCGGTTTACCACAAAGAGTGCTAGAAAACAAAGATATAAAAGGTATTTGAAGTAAAATCTTAAAGTAATTGTGAAGATGTTGGGCGACTTGGGTCAAAGTTGAAATCAAATAATTGTCCAAAAGAAGACCCAAAGAACATAATATCACAAAAATGACAGATACAGCGTTAAAACCAGCTGCATAATAACAACACTTGAAGCTAGTGAAAGTTGGATCCATTGAAAACCCATAGAACCACCAACCACTCTTATCAACCGCGCTTGAATTATAGCCACAAGATTGATTTTTTTTCCCTTCAAATTCATGCCTCCCGCACACAATAGATCAAACTTAAGTAAAAAAAATGGCAAAGATTCAGAAATTATGGAAACTTTACATTAGCCTTTCACAAATACAGCAGGATTTGAAAATTCAACTTGGTGCAGATAAAAAGTTCATATAGTTGAATGCATACAAAAACAATTGAGTGGGCATAAGTAGCCTTAGCTCCAATGTTCATGTGGCAAGACCAACAACCCATGAAATCTTCCATCACAGCAGATTTATGAAGTAAGAAAAGGGAAAAAGGAAGTGGGCTACCAATGGTAGGGGCAAGATCGTCAACGGTACTAGAAATGAAGCTGATGAGCAGGCTGCTCTTACCTACTCCTGAATCTCCGATCAACAAGATCTTGAAGGAATGATCAAAGCTGCCACTACTGCTCTGCCCTGTCGCCGACGATCCCATTCTCTCTCTTTAGAAGATCAACAGAGACGATGCTTTCTACGGAGTCACTTAATAATAAGAGAAAACGAGAGAAGAAGAAAAGGAAGCATCATTCTTCGTTTCTTTTGTATATACATACACACATGCGAGAGATGGAGTGTTTTCCTCCGTCACAGGATGATGCTTGGCTGGCTGGCTGAAGTTTAAGTAGAATAATAATAAAGTAACTCCGTATATGGATGGATAATAAACAACCAACCCTGCTATAGGTACCCCAATTGGTATCCCAATTTGTACCTCAACCAATTTTTGTGGCTCACAAAAGTCCACCTCAATAAATGAATTGCCCCATTTTAATGAGTTGCTTTTGTGAGCCACAAAAATAGGGTGGAGGTACAAATTGGGGTACCAATTGGGGTACCTTTAGCATTTTTCATAAACAACAGACAGAGAGCTTTTGTTTATTTGTTTTGCATCTAAGTGGAGATCCAATTTAATATATTAATTATACTTCCGTTACATTAGTATTTTAGTTAGATTAGAAATGATGTTACGTAATCTATTTAAAAAAAACTAAGATATGTGTTGGAATCTACCTAATTACATAGATAAAATCCCATTTTTATTTAAAACTGATACAACTTTTTTATTTGTACTATGATTGTAACAAAAAATATATCAAAATTTGAAATTTTTGTTATCTTTCATATGACATCAATATTGAATACTACATCCGTTCTCTTTTGATTGCAACATTGGACTTTTTGCACTATTCATACTCTACTTTGACTATGTTTTATTTATTAATGTATTATAAATTAAATTTTCAAAAAATATTTTTAAAATGGGATTTTTATTTTTATTTTTTACTAATAAGAAATGAAAGATATTAATGGTCAAACGTGTGTGTTGGCAAGTGTGAAAAGTGAAACGTTGCAATTAAAATAAAAATAATTAACACTTTAAATATAAAAATAAAAACACAATTTAACACTTTAAAAAATATCTTTTTTAAGTGTTATATCTTTTTTATTTGTACTTTAAGTCTTACAAAAAATATATAAAAAATCAAAACTTTTTATTATCTTTCATATGACACCAATGTTGCATATACAAAAGTAGTAAAGATTAATTCTATTAATTTTTTCAATATAGTATCGTTTTTTTACAGTGTACACAATTAATGAAGAGTGACAACTTAGAATAAAACTGCACAAACTTCATCATTTTTTTATTGTTTTATTATTTGCGCTAGAATTTGTTCAATATTGTTATAAGCTATCACTACGATTAGTAGTTTTGTATGGTTAATTATGTTGTATAATTAAAACCAAATTATAAAACATATGTATAAACCCAGTGCCGATCCTACCAAAACTCGGGCCTGAGTCGAACTTCATAAAAGGCCCTAACATTATTTATTTATTTTACTTTAATTTTCTTTGAAATTGAAGATTAAACATCATAAAAACGACTAATTAAATAAAAATTACATTAATGTCAAAGTATTCAAATGACTAATTAAGTACAACTCGCCGAAGAGTTTTAGCTGCAAAAGTATCAATTAACTTGGCATTCTAGATGTTCAATAAATTCCTTCTCAACAGATATTTGGTAGGCTTTAAATCCTTTTATGACTTTAAATAGAAAAATATTAGAAATTTAGAGCCCGTTTGGTAGCACCAAAATCGGCTGATTTGGCTGATTCTGCTATAATTTATGAATTTCTGACTGAAGTACTTGCATTGGTTGATTTTATTGATTTAAGAAAAAATTGTTTTAAAAATATACTACGTATTTTATGAATAAAATAAGGAAAAAAATATATGTAAAAATAGCTAAAATGGTCATCTACAGTAACTTCAGCCAATACAGCCAGAAAAGTAAATTCAACCTTGTTTTTTCTGCTTATTACACAATTCAGTACCGCAATCCACCCCAAGTACAACCTGCTCAACAAAGCCCAGCTTTCCAGCCTAGACAGCAGGCCCCTCCATTTGATGCTTATGTCCCGCACAATAACTGGAGACATTAGCTGAAGAAGCAACTGCAAGTGTTCGAGCAAGGATCACTGGAGACATTAGCTGAATCATGGAAGAGGTTCAAGGTGCTGAGAAGGTCTTCCCTCAAGGCAAGATGAATAGTTGTGAGATCTTGTCTTTCTTCTATAGTGGTATCAACAACGAAGGGAAGATGATGTTAAATGCCTTTGCTAATGGAGTTTTTCCTACTTTACCAGCTGAGTACGCAGAAGCATTAGTAGAGAGAATCGTTGCAAACAATGTGTCGTGGTACAACTCACGGAGTTCACCCCAACAGATAGCTCCTGGACTTTATGAGATTAGTGACAATTCTGCCCTTTCTGCATGGGTAGAACCTTGACAAGCATGATGCAAAAGCTCACCGCCAGCATGGATGATCTAGGGAAGAAGGTAGAACTTGCTCACTCGGTGCCTAGCGTGACCACGGTAGCCCTCATACCTATTTGTCCTTCTTGTAGTACGTGTGGGGGACTCCATAGGCCGCATGAATGTAATATGATGGCACACACCTTGGCAGCCCCTAGAGTAAAGCAAGTAGATGCGATGAATTTTCAGAGGCAGAGGTATTACAATCAGCACTACAACCAGCAGCAGTATGGGAACTACGGGCATGAAAACCAGCAATAGTATAGGAATTATAATCAGCCTTAAGCACCTTAGGCCTCATAGCAAGCACTTCAGCAGGATCAAGGGAGTCACACGAAGGGGACCCAACAAATTAAAGATTTTCTAGCTTGGAAGAGACACTCCAGAAATTTATGAAAACGACTACTGCAAGTTTTCAGATCCCGCAGAACCAAATGGGTCAGCTCGCAAAGGCCCAATCTGAGAGGCCTATGGGATCCCTCCCGAGTAACACAGAGAATAATCCAAGAGAACAAGTTCACTCTATCACGCCGATAAGTGGAAGGGATCTTGAACCTCCTGCCCCGGAGAAGAAGCTTGAAGAAATTGAACTAGCTGAAGTTGTCCCGGAGAAGAAGAAGGAAGAAGAGAAGAAGAAAGAGGTGGAGGCAGCCCCCAAAAAGTTCGTTCTAGTCAAAGCTTAAGTGTTGACTTGAGTTAAGTTGAGCACGCGTGACCCTTTCACCTTTACCCCCTTGTGCATAGTGCATTTTTACTATTTGAGGGCGATGCCAAAGTTCAAGTGTGGGGGAGTGAATTGGGCTTTCGGGCAGTAGTTGTTACATGAGATTAATTGTGTTAGCATGTGCATGTGTTAGTTATATATTCATAGGAAATTCATGTCAAACTTTTATAATATTTTTCGTTAAACTGTGTCTTTTTGAGCGGGCTAGAGTCGTGACTATGCTTTTAGAATGTCTTTGAAGTATTTAGACTTAAATTGCTTGCACTGTTAATCTAGTTGTTGAGAGGATGAAAGTATTAGTTACCCATTGAATTCAAAATTTTCCATCCCACCTGAATAAGTCTTTTAGGAGAAGCCACTTTGAGCCTGACCGTTTTGTTCTTTATCCATATTTTAAGATCTATTGCCAAATGGCATGTTTTCTCATTTGTGAATAATTCTGACAGTTTCTTGGTGTCCAGGGAACTTAGGGGTTAATTTTCTAAGTTCAGGAAATTTTTGTAGGAGCCATTTTTGGCACTGCTCATATGCCCCAAATGGGGTAAAAGCAGTCACTTTTTAGGAATTTGATATTTTTGAGGATTGGATTGTAGGCGCGGATTCACCTTTTTAAATGAACTTTAACTGCGAATTTTCCTTAGTGAGACCGAGATTAGAATGAGGTAATGTCTAGTGAAAAACTGAAAAAGTAAAAATAATAATAATAATAATATAGCTAGACCTCTTACCTTGCCAAAAAAGAATGGGAGACCCGGTCAAAAAACGTAAGTGTTTTGCACAATAAGATGAGACTCGGGGATCTTTAAAATGAAATGGCATTCTCGTGCCAACATGACGAGGAAAAATAAATTCTTATGAATTGGACTTGAAGGCTTATGCAAAAATTTAGCATTAGTTCTTCGCGTACTTCAAGTATACGTCAAAGTACCAATGTGCGTGCAATGACGGTTTAACTTAGTTGTACACCATGTCTACTCCTTGAGGTTTATAGTGAAAATTTAGCATTAATCCTTCACTATATATTTACGATTATATTTTTAAATTAAGACTACTTCAGGTTTATAGTGAAAATAACCAATTGACAAAATCACAAACATAATTGTTCGTTATTAGCACAAGGGAAAAATATAAAAAAATCCAAATTTTGAAGGAATGTGAGAGAAACACCTAAACTTTCCTATGTAATTTAAATACGCCAAACTTTATATAAAAAGATATTTTAGCACCATGATCATGTATTATTTTTTTCAAAATTTTAAATTTATGGTGTTAATCGCATAATATAAAATAGCAAATTAAAAATTCTACAATTATATAGAGTGGGGGTGGTATTATTTACATAGTATTTTACATTGGAAATTTAGAATGTTAGTTGTATCTTCATGAATGCTAAAATATTTTAAATTATGAAATTAACACTAAAAATTGACATTTTCGAAAGAAATAATACATGACCATGGTGCTAAAACAATTTTTATGTAAACTTTAGGGTAATTAAATCACATATGCAAGTTTGGGGTACTTACCTCACACCCCTTCAAAGTTTGGCATATTTTAATTATTTTTCCCTTAGCACAATGAGTCAATGATTCATTATATTCCTCTGCTATATTTTTCTATATACAATTAATTACTTTGTATTCATTCTTTTCGAAATATAAATGCAATAGTTATATACTACGTACATTTTTATAAGATATTACCTGGCAAATATTGTACTCAGCAATTGTTGGCATTTCTACAATGAAATATACACTCCAGGTAACTATTTGAAAGATTTCTAAATACAAACAAATATAATAATTTTCAAATACATAAATTTATTAAAATAAAGGGCAGTTGATTTTATATACATGTGTGTGTAAAAATAAGCGCCATTTTTGGAGGTCAAAGAACTGGCAGGTTTTTTTCTTCACAACCAAGTAGGTTGTATGGTTAGGAAGGAGAAGGCTGCCTTGTGGAAGGGCTATGGCCCCTGCGGTTCCAATCCGATCAGTTGCGCAAGTATGATCTGCCTCAAAGACCCCCACCCCAAGACGAGGCGGCATCATCTTCCCAAAGCTAAGTGTAGCCAGACAGACACAAGAGACTTATCAGTTATCACCATAATATTTCAGCAGCAAATTTTGAATTTTATAGGTTCAATTGTGAGTGAGCAGCTACTCGCGTTTGTGATTGGGATTTAGAGCAGTTTCCGTCATCAAAAGAGGTGTTTCATAGTGGTATGCTTTCCTGAGTAGGGGTGGGCATAAAACCCGAACCGAACCGGTACCGAACCATCCCGTAATGGTACCGAACCGAATACCGGGTATTAAAACGGTTCTATATATTTTTGTCCCGTACCGAAACCGTATCGTTTGAAACGGGTACGGGACCGGTCCTAGATTTTGAGAACTGAAAATTACCGGACCGAACCGTTTGAAAAATAATGCACTTGAATTTTTTATATTTTTTCTATACCAATTCAATAGATCTCTTTTATAGACCAACAATTGTATAGCTCAAGTATGTATTTATGCGTCCTTAAAATAGCTAAATGTGTGTGTTTATTTATTTATATATATATATATATATATAATATGTTGTTATTTTTTTCTTTTTAGATAATTTATGTTATATTTTGGTATGTATTGAAAGAATATTAAAATTTTAGAGAAATCATTAATGACTTCATTTCTAGTAATGTTAGCGTACATGATTTTTTGTTGTATCATGTTTGTGAAATTTTACAACTTAACAGGTTTAAATCTTAGCTCTCAAGGTTCAACTATAAGTTAAATTACAAATACAGAGTAATATTTAACCTAGAATGAAGAAGAAGAACGTTGAGGATTTCTATTATTTTCAACAATTTGATGATTTTTTTTTATATTTTCACATGAACTAAGTAAATTAAGGATGATATTTATCTCGTGCGTCATCGTTTTGCTACACTCTTTCTTAATTGATTGATGTGATGATAGATACTAAAGAAATTGTCCTAAATTGGATCAAAACATAGTTAAAATTCCACAATAGGAGTTGATGTTTTATTTTACCTAAACAAGACTAAACATTACCATTATGCCCTTAAAATAATTAAAGCCCCAATCCATCACCGGCTATTGAAGTCTGAAGAGCAGCCATCGACCATCTCTCCCATATGAGTTCTTCGCTATTTTTTCATCCACCGTCGTCGATCGCTTCTCACCCGCCGCCTCGCCTATCTGGATTTATTATCGCCTCTCTTCATCGATTTTCCATATCAGGTAATTGATTCATCTTCTTCTCCCTTCTCCGTTCTCTCTTCTCCCTTCTTCTGTCTTCTCAATCATCTTCTTCTGATCTAGATTTTCTCTACTCTAGGATTTTCAATTTTTTTTTTGTATTAAAAATCAAAATACTCTTGTGGATCTAAAACTTTCTGTTGAAAAGCGATGTTTCGATGAAGCACCAATGATCGGAAAATTTTGGACTTGAAATTTTATTAATTTTTAAATCTGATTAATTTTTGTCTAAGAGAATGCCAAAAATGTTGTACAAAATGTCACTTTTATGACATTACTTTATGTCAAGATGACAATTTTAATTTGAAAGTACAGTAATTAGAATGACATGTTTTTGAACTTTTTGCCAAATTATTTTACATTATATCAAGATGGCAATTTTAAACTGAAAGTACAATAATTAGAATGACATGTTTTTGAACTTTTTGCCAAAATATGTCATTTTTATAGCACTAAATGTATAAAGATTGCCAAAATATGTCATTTTTATAGCACTGAATGTATAAAGATGGCAATTTTATTTCTAATTTTTCCTTATTTATTTATTCTCAAATTTATATTTTCAATTTTAATATGATATTGACATAATTTCTAACAAAAATGCTAGAATCTTTGACCTGAAATTGCATTTACGTTTCACCTTAAAAATACATGTTTTCATAACTGAAAATGTCATATTAATACATAAAAATGTCATTAATATGTCAATATACTTATCGATATGACATTCTCCCTGGAGATCAACAAGAGACCACCCAGAGGGCGGTGGCGGCTCCGGCGGTTCGTCGGAAGATGGTGTCAGCTCGTCGGAGGAAAGTGGCATCAAATTCACTGAAGGTTGATGTAGGAGCTTGGCGGTGGTTGGTGAAGGCAGCATATAGTTTGATGTAGTCTGTTAGTTCCTGGGAAATTAGGACCTGGAACTTCATTAAGGGCAATTTTGTCTGATCAGTAATTAAGAGTCCTTTTTTTTGGACAATTCTTTCTGACATATATAGTATCTGCTAAATGTTAATGCCAACATACTTGAACTGGGATGAGATTCGAACCTGTGACCTCCTCTTTAGGAGTGTCACAGTCATCAGACCACAACGTACTTGGCATAATTAAGAGTCCTATTTAGGGGAATAATAAACTTAATGTCCTATTTATGCAAATCTACTAAGTTTTAGTCCCATTTGGACGATTCTCTCTATCTACTAATTGCAAGATTTGTTCAAATTTTTTAGCATGTGTTTGACATTGTACCGTACCGTTTTGTACCGTTCCGAAACGACATGGTACCGAACGTTTCCATCCTTGAAACCGGACCGTTCCGGACCGTTAAAAACCTCACTGATACATTATGAGTTTTACTAATTACCAGACCGTTCCGGGCCGCGCCCACCCCTATTCCTGAGCATAATGAGAGAAATGTGAGGGAATGCTAGCAAGTTTTTTTTTTTTTGCATATATGGTCTAACTCACAAATATCGTGATGGTTCCCAAATAAAATTTAGATGATTGATACCTTGAAAAAAACACTTCTTACTAAAAAATAAGCTGCCACTTCTCTAATCTTGCTCACCAGCCATTACATGATTTGTAGACATTACAACAAACCCTAGAATCTAAAACCAACACATTACCGCAATTTTAAGTTCAATCACAACTAATTGATCACAAACAATTCCGCATCTTCAAAAAGAATCATAATGAATGAAATAAGCCCCTCATTACATGCAACTCATTAAAAAAATAACCAAACCATAGATTGAGAAGAAGTATATATACCCCTGCAACTGACTTTGGATTTGTTCATCACTGGACATACTCAATTCTCCACCCTGGCTTGTTATATAATTTCCACATCGTTTCCCTCTCATCTCTCTCACGGTCTAAGAGTTCATGTTGTGTGAGGCAGCTTTCACCGTACAATCTCGAGAAGCTGCATCACTAACATCAAGTGATTCTCATCATCCATGTCATAATCATGACCACTATCAGGACAATGAAGAAATCTATTATCATCTCAAAACAAATGCAAACAATGGACCATATATGTTAAGTTGTTAACATATTACAAATAAACAACTCTGTGTTGATTTAAAAACACGATACAAATCTGCATTTTTGAGTTACTTATATACATAGTACAAAGTATATATGACATATATAAGTATATATACATGTATTATACACACACACACATATAAAACTTAACCACATATTAAATGTCCAAGTAGAATATAAGCAAATAAAAAGTTACATTTGAACGCAAGATAATCCATGTAGCCAGGTTCATTTATCCCAAAATAAAATTGAAGCAACGGATGAAAGAAATAAACCATAGCGCTAGCCTCCGCCGCCCTGATGACAACCATGACATCCCACGGTGAAGATAACTTTTTACCTTTCCTCGCTAGCTCAGCTCTCCCAAGCGACATCCATGACCGAAACGTCCATTGGCCGCTGATCGACGTCCTGAACCTCAGTGGTAACCACCGATACCCTCCACCGCCCTAATCAACCCATCAGTGGCTGAAGTCTTCCTCCACTCTCCCTTGGCTATTTGTCACCTTAACACTTCGCTGCCCTATGGCCCAACCTATAACATCAATGACCAAAACCTTTCACCGACCTAATTAAGCTACAATTGGTGACTCAAAAATGAGTCACAAATTAAGAACCGTACTACCGTTTTGGGAAGATCAAGTGTCGGTGTTTAGTTCGTGATTTTCCTTACGACACTAAGTAAGCTGTGACACTTTCACACTTATATAGGCCATGCAGCTGGAACTATTGATTCTCGAGAAGCTCAAGCATCGGAAGATGAACAGCCTTGAAGTATTTAATTACAGCCCCTGCAGCGACATTGGGATGCTATTCTTCTAAAAAAGCGATTGTGTTAGTCGTCTGGGCATTAATTGTTTTAGTTATGCTAGACAATGAGCGCTAACAATTCCCGCTCAAAGTGGGGCCACACTTTTGCGTTTATATATATATATATATATATATATCGGGGAGGGTTCAAGTAAAAAGTAGTCTCCCTAGTCATGGACCCGGTTCGGGCCGCCCGGCCCGGCCCGCCACTGTGCGGGCCCGGAACCGGCCCGGTTCTCGGGTCCGGGTCGGGCCTAGGCCCGGTGGGGGGGCGGGTCCGGGCTCGGGCCTTGTATTTGGCGAACCGGCCCGGCCGGGTCGGGCCCGGGTCCGGGCCAAAAACTGTTTTTTTTTTTCATTTTTTTGGGCTTTATTGAGTTGGGCTTGATGTTTAGGACCGGTTTGGGGGGTTTGGGGGGGTGGGGGGTGGGGGGGGGGGGAAGAAAAGAAAAAAAAAAAACTAACCGGGTGTAGGGATGGACCCGGGCCGGGCCGGTTCCGGTTCCGGGCCGGGCCCGGGCGGGCTTTTTTTTCGGGTTACATGGGCCCGGAACCGGCCCGGGTTGATACCGGGTCCGGGCCTAACCGGGCCGGGCCGGGCCGGGCCCGGTTCAATGTTTTTTTTTTTTTTTTTTTTTTTTGACTTTCTTGTTATCTCCCTACCCCCCCCCCCCTCACCCCCACGCCCCAAACCTCCCTAAAACACCCAGCCCTACCCTAGGAAAAGAAAAAAAATTGAAAAAACCAAAAAAAAAAAAAAAAAAATGAACCGGGCCCGGCCCGAACCGCCCGGGCCGGTTCAACAAAAACAGGGCCCGGAACCGGCCCGCCCGACCCGCCAAAACGGGCTAAAAGCCCGGAACCGGCCAACCGGGCCCGGTCCGGTTCGGGCCCGCACAGTAGCGGGCCGGTCCGGTTCCGGGCCGGTTCGGCCCGGCCCAGTCCATCCCTAACCGGGTGGCCCGGCCCGGAACCGGACCCGGAACCGGTGGCCACCGGTTCGGGCTCGGGCCCAACAAAACAGACCCGAGGCCCGGCCGGGCCTAGGCCCAAACCGAGCCCGAACGGCCCGGGGCCATCCCTAAGTCTCCCCATGAAAAGTGAGAACAAATCTTGGCCTTCCATCACTTGAAAATGGATGGATTATGAACTTTAAACACAAGAGATGATTAAAAAAATGTGCAAACGTTTATACTTTAAAGTGGATAATTACTCATTAAAGGTGCACTCATGCGTGTCAAAAAAGATTGTTAAAATTTTCCAGCTTGTGCACTTTTTATTTTGTACTGTATTGCACTTTTGTGTTCTACATGTGCACTTTTTGATTATTCAAATGTATATTTGTCACAATATTTTCAATAAAAGTTCTCCATAATTACAACTAAGCCACCGCGTTTCCTACCTCAAAATTGATCTTTTCCATCCATTTTTTCACATCAATGGCCAAGATTAGTTCTTATTTTTCATCTAGGAAGCACTTTTTATTTGATCCATACTCTATATATATATATATATATATATATATATATATATATATTAGAGATTTAAATAAAATTTAGTGTAACTAGAGTATGGACACTTCACACTAGTATAGAGAGACATCCACGTGATCACATGTACATAGTCACAAATAATGATTTTGTACTTGCAATAAAGTCACAATTTATTCTACCAAAAAAAAAGTCACAATTTAAACTCTTCCCCTTGAAATCCATTTTCTCTCCTTGGCAAAGGACAACTCATGGATCAGACTCCATTCACTCCAACCATCTAGACCCTCCATATAGCTTGAGCAAAAGAGCAAGAAAATCATCCATCACTAGAGTTATAGACATATGCTGATCTAATAGCACAGATTTGCCGAGCAGAGTGTCCTATGATTACAAACGTAAAGATAATGCGACTTAATGACTTAAGTACCAGATCAAGATTCATGTCAATGCAGACCGTTTCCGTATTTGTTTCACTTTCATGTACAAACCCTACACCCAAGAGAAAAATGGTATTGGTTAGCTTTTTGATTTAATCTATTCTCTCAAAATCTGGTTCTGATTCTGATTCTCAGAATCAGGATCATCTTTTGCCAAACACAATCCTAATCAGCACTAGCTAAGCATCTTACATCTGTAGTGTGAATGGTCGCTCCTGTTGTCATGCTAATATTTTGATCTGGAATCAACTCAAAGCTCATGTTCTGCAAAAATATTGCCATAGACACAATAGCTTCTAGCAAGGCAAACTGATCACCAACACATTTACGAGGCCCTCCGCTGAAAGGGATGAATCTGCAATAAGTAGTTTATGAATCTGTAAATGACTGAAAACATTGACAACTTTTCACTTGTGGTGCATGACTATGAAATTCTTGCTGCTTTTGATCCGTTTCAGTCACTTATCCAGCAAAACAGCAGCATTCAAGCCTTAGTCCCAAAACAACAACAACAACATCCAGCAAAACATGAGGAGAAAAAAATCCTAAAGTAGTAGAATATAAAGGTGAAATAAAAAGGGATTTTGTGGACATGAATACCTAAAGTCAGTATTAGTCTCATTAGGCATGGGATCTTCTATGCCAAACCTTTCTGGAAGAAAATCTTCTGCTCTTTCCCAGACCATTGTAGAATGATGAATATTATATACTGAAATCATTATATCTTGACCAGCATTCACTTTATAATTCCCAGGCAAAACATCAGCTACTTGAGCTCTCCGTAGTAATACCTAATCAAATTAGTTTGAGAGGAAACAAGTCAGCATAAAAAAAATGCATAATAAATATTCAACTAGGAGAACAATGCCAGCATACAGGAGGATGAGGATACAGGCGAATAGACTCCAATATGCACCGTGTCAAGAACTTGAGATTTTTTATATCTTCATAGGTAGGAGTTCTTCCCCCTAAAACTTGGCTGACTTCTTCTTGTGCTTTTCTCAAAGAGGAAGGGTCCTGCAATAGGATTAATTATGACAGTACTGTTTGATCTTAATATGCTCTGATACTATTGTAAGGCTTCAAGTTATATCCTTAAATGTGTGTGCAGCGATGAAAAGGGCTTAAATTATTACTCTACCCTTTTTTATTTTTTCTTCTTTTATTCCCCAAAATATCTAAACTTCCTTTTCAGTGAAAGACTATGTGATTTATATGACTTCTTCTCTCTCTTCTATACAAATTTTTGCAACATACTTTTCGCTATGTTAAAAACTCTGTGAAGTCAAATGAGGAGCTCAAACAGGGACGGAAGGAGTATTTCTTATATTGATCAGGGAAGTCAACTACCTTTGGGTTCAACAATTCTCATGTTTGAAACTCAATACAAGAAATAAATACAGCTGTATGATACCTTACTTAGGAGGTATGATGTCCAAGTCAATACGGAAGCAGTGGTTTCATGCCCCGCAACAAGCATAGATAAAAGGTCATCACGAAGTTGTGCACTTGAAACCTACAATGCGCACATATTCAAGTTCTTGATAAAGCTAATAGAACCTAAAAAATTGTTTCAAAATAAGTTGTAAACCTCTTCCCTGCTAGCAAGTAAAAATCTTAGGACGCTTGGGTCGGTCTCATTCACATACTCATCTTCACATATACTCTCACCCTCACTTTCCACCATCTCTTTACATTCTGCAATGAGCTCTTCAACTGTTTGTCTGATTAGCATAACTGCCCTCTCTGCCTTTACTTGTCGCGGGACCAGTTTACACAAAGCTTTGATCTGCAATTGATCCGGTCGGTCTAAATAAATAATAGGGAAAAGTACGGAAAAGATACTTGTGGTTGAGCCCGTTTTCAGATAAGGTCATGTGTTTCATTCTTTATCAAAGTGGTTCATGTGTTTGAATTCCGTTATCACAAGAGGGTCACGCCGTTAAAAACGTCTGAAAAACACCGTTAAAAGTAACCCCGATTTTCAAAAGTGCCCGGAATATTAAAAGTAAAATACCGAAAGGTGCGCCTCGTCAACTTGACCTCCAAACCACCTTCGCCTTTGGATTACTCAGATCTTTTGAATTATTTTTTAAAAATGATTTCGCTTATATCACTTTTCCAGGGGACTTTCCGGTGACAAGGGTGGCTGAAAACAAAAAAGAAAGATAGCGTAGCGGTCAATTTATTGAGGCGCACATTCTGGTATTTTTCTTTTAATTTTTCGGGCACTTTTGAAAATCGGAGTTACTTTTAACGGTCTTTTTCAGACGCTTTCAATGGCGTGACCCTCTTGTGATAATGGAATTCAAACACATGAACCACTTTGATAAAGAATGAAACACATGACCCCATATGAAAACGGGCTCAACCACTAATACCTTTTCCGTTCTTTTCCCTAAATAATACTAAATGAGTGTTAGCTATTAGTTGAAAAAGTATTTTTCAGCCTTTTGTTTTCTAATACATGCTTTCACTTAAACTTGAGCAATTTGAAATTAAAAGCTGAAAGTAGGGGGAATGCTTAAAACTGATTTTCACTTTTTTATAAAAAAAAGTGCTTTTTCATGAAGAACTCTAAATTTTACTTTTTTTAGAAGTTTTTATTTTCGAACACTTCCAACTAGTACAGTTAATCACTTTTCGCATAATCTCTAAAATAAATCACTTCTCACAAGTAGAAGGAAATGCAAACCACTCCCTAAGTGGATAAATTGTAGTCAACAAAAACAGATACAGTCACCATAATGACTTGCCTTCCAATATGGTAAGAGATCAGTTGATCTCATTTCTGCTTCTTTCAAAGCAGTGTAAACCGCACCAATCACTGGGCTATTAGTCTCAAGGGAATCAAAACTGTAATTAAAAACAGACAGCCCAATTACATCGAGGGTTAGTTGAGAAAACTTCTCCTCCATGTTTACTGGAGAGCCATTGTGAGCATATGGCGTGAGTTTCTCCACCAATCTTTCAGCACATCTGCAAAACACCCTCTCAACCATTACAGACAAATACTTCTTGTGGAGTGATGGAACCACAGCCCTTCGTCTTGCCTATAACAAACATAAATCTTGAGCAAAAAAACACTTTTACAAGAGAGGAAATATTTCAGGTCAAAAGCTTCTGATGTTTGTGAAGATGGTGGTAAAGCACACAGATCTTGAACATGGTATTATTGTATACTCATTTGAGTCTTTAATGTATCTCCACTCTTGAACTTCAAGTGCTCATTTGGGTCTCAATCAGGCCGAGTTATTTGTTGTTTTAATAAGCTCGGATATCATATTTGCATTAAGGTTTGAAAAGTTGTTCTTTGAAGAATTGAAAGCAGCAAAGTCTTTTATGCAAAGGTAACATTGATCTTTGAAAACTAAAGTAGAGTTCCGCGAAACTCGATCTACATTATCAAAAATAGAACCAAGATGTGCACCCATTAACGCCACACATTGAAAAGACGGAGTGCTTACCGTCCAAAGGGGGCCTTCGGCAATGGCAAAGCCAGACCCAAACAAGAACTCAGACACCTCGGGAACAAGCCCCTTCCCATACTTCCCGTAATTTCTCAAGACATGCTTCGCAATGGATGGATCACTAACCACCACAAAGTTTCTAGGGCCAGCTGCGAGGCGGTAGATGTGTCCGTACTCATTCATCCACTTCAAGAGCGGGAGAAACAGAGCTCCGCCCAGAAGGTCAGACACGTCATCCAGCTTTGCCCTCGCAGTCGGTATATTCGAATCGTCATTCCGGCCTGCTGTGAGCGATCTGGTCAGTCCCGTTAGCCAGTCCGGACTCACCCATGAGCTAGTCTTTGAGGGGGGCGGTGGTTTGTCCAGCGAGTTTTTTACAGTTAGATAACGGGAATTGCTCGGCCAATTGGAGCTGAGAGTGACTGTGTGGCGGTAGTGCGGTGGAGTTGCGCGGTGGAGGAAGGAAGATGGGAGAGAGAGTGAGGATGGCATCATCCTGGCCTGGTGGCGCTACCGGCTATGAATCTCTCGTGTGCTTTTGGGACCCGCCTTTTCACAGGTCTCAATTTTTTCTAGACTAGATAATACTCTTTCTTTTTCCTTTTCTAATTAGTATATTATCCGTGCATACAACACGCACGAGAAACAGCAGTTCGTGCATATGTTTGTACTCATTATCTAATTAAATATTAAACTAATTAATTTTAATATTTAAAATTTATTTTCGAAAAATAAAAGTACAATCAACTAATATCATAAAGTATAAGCCATACATGAAAGCACTGCATATATGAGAGAGAAAATTCTCCTGCTCAATTGTTATTAGTCGATTTATCTTATTTATTATACCTAAAAGCACAACATATGTGAGAGAAATTTTTCCACTCAATAGTTAGCCGACATATCTTATACTTAAAAGAAATGTTTATGAGAGATCAAATTCTTCAGCTTAATTGTTAGCAAGTTTATCTTCTAATACCTAAATGCACTACATATGACAAAGAAAATTTTCCCGCTCAATTGTTAGTCAACTTATCTAATACCTAAAAGCACTACATATGAGAGAGAAAATTTTCACGATCAATTGTTAATCAACTTATCTAATCTAATACCTTAAAGCACTACATATGAGAGAGAGAAAAATCGTTCAATTGTTAGCCGCCTTATCTTATACTCCCTCCATCTCTTAAAACTTTGTCAACATTCCTTTTTGGGACGTCCCAAAAAACTTTGTCACTTTCCCTTTTAATCAATATTTTGTGGTTTTTGTTATTTCTCTCTCGTCTACACAAACCTCAACCACATAGTTTTTACTTTATTATTCTCCGTGCCGGTCAACTTTGGCAAAGTTTTAAGGGTCGGAGGTAGTACTTAGAAGAACTACATATGAGAGAAACATATTTCCCGCTCAATTGTAGAGAGCTTATTTTCTAATACCCAAAAGCACTATATATGAGAGAGAAAATTTCCATTCAGTTGTTAGCCGGTTTATTTTCTTATACCTAAAAACACTATATATGAGAGAGAAAATTATTTCATTCAATTGTTAGTCGGTTTATCTTATACTTAAAAAAATGTTATAAGAGAGAAAGTTCTCTTGCTCAATTGTGAGCAAACTTATCTTCTAATCTTCTAATATCTAAAAGCACTACATATGAGGGAGAATATTTTTCTGCTCAATTATTAATCAACTTATCTTACCTAGAAGCACTACATATAAGAGAATATTTTTCCGCTCAATTGTTAGTTGTCTCATCTTATCTATACTTAATTAACTCAACTAAGTCCTCTCCCGCCTAAAGTTTCTAGGGTATTTTCGTAAACTCTGGTTCTCCTCTCCCCTTCGCAGATCAGTTCCTACTCATGCGTTTCCTACGCGTATTTTTCGAGAAGTTTTAGCTTCTCAAACCTTCTCCTCTTATACGGCTCTCAAAGCCTCCCCCCTTTTGACACGCTAGACACATCAAACATCTTTATTCTTCGTAAATCGTCCCTAGCAAAAGGAGTTCATCCCACCCATATATGATAGAGATGGTTCTTCTTGGATGATGAGGTACATTTATTAGAATTTCATTTGATTTTATTTTTTCTATCAGAGCCTTTTCTTTTGTTTTCTATTTCATCTAATATGGTTTGATTCAATGTTCAGTTTGCTCTCCATGACTATGTTAACTATGCACGGAACATGTTTGATGAAATGTGAGAACTGTCAAAGAGAAGCATTCAAGGAAAAAACTCCAACTTTTCTTCTTTTGTTCCTTCATCCCTTCTTCCACTTCAGCAGCCCGCTCAAAAAGTCATGTTCTTCGTATCACTTCATCAGCCCCACATTTCCTTCATTCCCTTCATCCCCTTCATCAGCTACTACTCATGTGTTTCCTTGACCTTGTGACAAGGTATCATAATAAAGTCACTATTGCCTTATTATCTCTAATCTTCTCAATTTCCTCCATTCTTGATACAGATGCCTGAGTATTCAGTCATTTGAAGAATAGTAGGCTGCAAATGTCTGAGGTAAATAAGCCGCATCAACATTAAGCTTAATTCATTTGACCAGTATGGGATGTTGGTTGTAGAATTTGAAATTAGGATAGATGATATGCTCTTCATAGAGAGTGGAGCTAGGCTTCCACAATTTTTTTGTCCAAAATATTGATCACTTTTTTTGGTAGGGTGTCAGCAACCAGTATATGAATTGGCAGAGATGATAGAACATGCTTGATGAGTACATCTTCCCCCTTGAGAAAAAGCTTTCTGTCTCCATGGAGTAAGTTTGGTTTCAATGAAAATACCTTTATGAAGGTAATTTCCCGGGTATGTAATTGGAAGGAAGGTTCTTTTTATTTTCAGAATTCTTTCCATATTGCTAACCCTGAGTGAAGAAGTCTTGCCACATATTGCCAGATTGGGATATTTGATACTTAAAATAAATAAACCTCTACTTTATGATTAATTTAGTTTTGACTTAATCCACTAAAAAAATACTGCTTATTTAAATGATTTCAAATGTTAATAACAGTTTATACAAAAATACAAATCCCCAAGTCTAAAGTATGCATATTTTGTGGTTCCAAATCACTGTGTTTGATTGAGTTGCTAAAAGTTTTTGTTCTTGCCTTTGACCTCTCTTTAGTTTGTTTATCTTTAGTGTGCTGTTTGAATACTTTTAGGTGATGTAAACTATATGCAAGTATAACTAAATATCAAATGTGGTTTAATAAATCAGGAATTAACATCTAGAAGTACTACGTGAAGAGGAAATAATGCACTTTTGTTCTTGCCTTTGATCTCTCTTTAGTTTGTTTATCTTTAGTGTGATGTTTGAATACTTTTAGGTGATGTAAACTATATGTAAGTATAACTAAATATCAAATGTGGTTTAATAAATCAGGAATTAACATCTAGAAGTACTACGTGAAGAGGAAATAATGCACTTTTGTTCTTGCCTTTGATCTCTCTTTAGTTTGTTTATCTTTAGTGTGCTGTTTGAATACTTTTAGGTGATGTAAACTATATGTAAGTATAACTAAATATCAAATGTGGTTTAATAAATCAGGAATTAACATCTAGAAGTACTACGTGAAGAGGAAATAATGCACTTTTCTGTTTAGTGACAAAAGATAATTGAGAGATGAGCACTTCTACAATTTTTCACTCTTCAACCATTATACTACTGAAGCCTAAAGTCTTAACTAAGAAGCGAATATTTAAATGAAAGATCTGCAATTTTTCTTCTCTTTTACTTACTATGGTTTGGGTTCATGTTCTAATTGCTCTCCATGACATTAAAGTTGGGTGGAGCTTATGGACAATGTTGAATTATTTATTATGGACTATATTAACTTTATGCACAGTACATGTTTGATGAAATGTTTCTAAAACTTCTAAATATTGAATTAAATCTTCAAAACTTTTATATCAATACAATATATGGGGTTTCTATCAGCTTTTAATAAGAGGTTTCTATCAACTTTATTCATTAATACACACTATATTCAACTCAAATCAATTCAACCTTTTTTTTTAATTTACATCATATGCAATCTAATCCTTGAATATATTTGTTTGCACCAAAGGTCTGGAGTGTTGCTTATTTCATTTATATGCCTTTATTGATTAGCTCCGAGTTAATTAATCCTCTAAATAACATAACATCATTGCTAAAAAAGTTTTTCATGTGATAGTGTCTTTAAAATACATATAGGTAGAGAGTAAGAGTGTTATGTATTTATGATATATGTTTGGATTGGCCTTATAAGATTCTTACAGGTTTATGACTACTTTGTTTTAAGATTGAAAATTGAAAACTCCCTTAAACTTTTATGTTTTAACAATCATGTGAGAAAGGTTGATCATTAGTCCAAGGAAAAATTGATAGTAATAATCCCAACTATTGGCGGTCCGCTCATAATAATCCCAACTATCGATTATTTCAGAATAATCCCAACTTTAGGGACCTTCCGCCAATAGTGGTCCCTATAAATAAATTTATGTAGTTTCTAAAGTGGATGAGGAGTGATATAGCAAGTAATCCCTATAAATAATCTCAACTTCTAATTTTTACACTTAATTTCTATTTAAAATTCACTTTTTATAGGAGGTAATATCTGACCATGGACCATTATTGGCGGACGATCCATATAGTTGGGATTATACAAAAATAATCAATAGTTGGGATTATTATCAGCGGACCGGCAATAGTTGGGATTATTATTTTCAATTTTTCCTTAGTCCAAATAGTAAAGCCTGAAAAAAGCCAGAACTATTCTGCTCCACAGAGACTTCATTTCTTCACGCAAAGGCAGTCTTACTTCAAGAATTGAGATGATCATTGGTTAACCTTCTTCTATTTTCTTGCCTGTTTGGTTTTGTTCAGAATTTTCTATTTGATTCTATTTTGAGTTATATTTTTCTATTTGACTTCATTTCTGTTTTCAATTTCCATTTGTTGCCTTATGCAGTATATTCACAATCTTATTTAATTGGAAATGTTGTCATCTAATTCATTTGATTTTTCACTTCTATTTATCAAAAAAAGTTTCATCTAATCAGCCAAGCTTATATAAAATTGGGGGCGGGAGATTTGATCTGTGTACACAATATTATTGAAACGTGTAATCTTAATTCTAATACTATCGTATATGTTTAGTAATATTGATATATTTGAGCGTTACTAACCATTATGTTGGGCATGTGATGACACTTTTGATTATGCTAATAACTTATTTGGTGATTATTTTGATTGAAACATAGTACTCCATGTAATTTATCTTGATTTTCCATTCTGATTTTTCTTCTTCTGTTCAGATTGGAATATTGGATCGCTCCAGCAAAAGGACCTTTTTCAAATAACATAAGTAATAACTTATGTTGTAATTAACACAAAGTTGAATGTAAGAATTCATCATACTCTTATACTGTAAATTTGCCTTTTTCTGCTATGCAAGCATTTGTTAAGTCCACATGATCAAACAGTTTCATCTTCTTCTAGATTTCCTGACCACCCACAATCCCACATAGAAGCTCTGAGCTTGAGATGGTCATTTATATGTAAGAGGTATCTTTCCCTGCTATCTTTCAATTAATTGATTAAAAAGAGTGCCTATTTTATGTTTTGACGAATTTTCCAGTTTATAAAATTAACATACCCACGCTCTTCTTTCTCTATCCCGTTCTTCATCCTCATCTCTTTTCTTCATTTTAATTCTTCAACAAGGTGAGTTCATCTTTTTTCAGTCAACAAGCTAGGGTAAATTTGTTGTTCCTAAATCAATTTCATATCATTGAGTCAATAAGTTTTAAGTCCAATTTACACCCTATTAAAGGATATAATAATTTTTTTAGACTTAAGTTTTGATTTAGCATAGGTTATGTTTTAGTCTGCACTGGACTGTTTTTAGTTTGTTTCTGTTTTCAAAAATATCATGATAAATAAAAAGTGAAAAAGCTTTTGAAAACTAATTTCATTCAAATTGGATGATGATTATATCTGTATGTCAGAGGTTTACTTTTGGTTCTTTCAATCAAAACAATCACAAGCACACATCCACGTGTCTTTGCGTATTAGCTTTAGCACTACTGTTTTTGAACTATGGCTTTTATTGATTGTTGTTGTGATAGGAATAAATAATTAGTGGGCCTATTCAATAAATAATTAGTGGCCCTAGTCATTAAAGAGTATGATAGAAAAGACAAGAAGTCTATTATTAGTTAATTAACTAGTTAATAGTTCCTTTTATCCCTGCGCGGCATCATGTGCGATCTTCCAACAGTCCAACGACCTCTGGAGGTAACCCTATTAATCCGATCAACTCCCGCATCCAACTTCACAGAGAGCCTGAGATCCATAATCGGTTTTCTATCCAGACCGGTAGGAAAATTGATATACCAATTTTCACTGGAGATAACGCGTACAATTGGATTGTAAGGATGGAAAGGTATTTCAGAGTAAATCATATTCAGGAAGAAGAACAGGTTGAAGCAGCTGTGGTTGCTATGGAGGGCAGAGCGATTAACTGGTTTATTTGGTGGGAGCATCAGATTGAGAGAAGAAACTGGGAAACTCTGAAGACCTCTATTATCAGAAGGTTCCAACCTGATTTGATCCAAAACCCCTATGGACCGATGCTAAGCCTGAAACAGACAGGTACAGTGCAGGAATTCCGAGACGAGTTTGAAATGGTGATAACACCCCAAATTAATATTGATGCTGAAATCCTGAAGGGCATTTTTATCAATGGACTGAAGGTTGAGATCAAAGCGGAGCTGAAAATGCACAACTCTAGCTCTCTAGCTGAAGTAATGGACATGGCCATATTGATTGAAAACAAAAATGAGGCATTGAATTTTAAAAGGAAGGAAGAAGGCATGTTCTTATGGAAGGAAAAAGGACCAGTACCTAGCAAATCTCAGAATTGGGGAGAAGGCTATAAGGCTAGATATGGTAGCTCTGGATTCAATAATCAGGGAAAAGAGGCAACAGATAATAGGAATTTCAATTCCTGGTTTGAGAAAATGGAGAAGAAGATCACTGACATGCAATCTTCAGGAATCAGGAAGGTAGCACCCCAGTTATCTCAAGAAGAATTTCAGGAAAGAAGCCGGAAGGGGCTGTGTTTTAAGTGCGGAGAAAAGTGGAATAAAGAGCATACCTGCAAGCTGAGGCACTATAAGTTGATGCTAGTAGAAGACTCAGATGCTGAAGAAGAAACAGATTTTGAAGAACCTGAAATTCCAGAAGAAGAAGTGATGTTGGAGTCCAAATCCATGCACTTGTCACTTATGAGTAAGGAAGGGATACCTACCATGAGAGCTTTCAAGATTAAAGGAATTCTGAAGTGGGATAGAGGGGTAAAACAAGTGGAAGTGCTGATTGATAGTGGGGCCACTCATAACTTCATTTCTAAGAAACTGGTGGATGAATTGGAGCTGCCTTTTAAAACCATTTCAGGATATAAAGTGCAAGCCGGTAATGGAGAAAAGCTATCTAATGATGGAAGATGTGAAGATTTGACTTTATGTATGCAGGGTTCAATCATAAAACAAAACTTTTACTTTCTGAATTTGGAAGGAACTGACTTCGTATTGGGAATGGAGTGGCTGACTACTTTAGGTGATGTAGAAATAAACTTTCTGAAACACCGTATAAAATGGAAGGTTCAGGGGCTAGATCAGCAGATCCAAGGAGATCCCCAGCTGAATTCAATAGAGGTTTCTTTGAAAACTATGTCACAGATTATACAAGATTCTGGAGATGGGTGTTTAGTGTACCAGGAGGGGAGATTGCTGCAAATGGAGAAGGGTGTTGCTTATGCTGAAAGTCAGGACCAAGCTCAGGTTGGTGACTGTATATTAATACTCCAGGATGTTTTGACACAGTCATGGGGGCAGAAGGATCCACAAAATTTTGCAATTGAAGAATCAGTGGTCACTCAATCTGATGCCAAGATGAGGATTTTAGTAAAGGGCGACAATTTGAAAGCATTCCATCACCAAAACAAGACTGACAAGTTTCTAGTCTGGGGCTCCTCAGATTCTGGATTGAGCTGGGCTAAAGAGTTTGATTTTAAATATCATATGGATGGACTCAATATGGAACTAGATTCTACTTCTCAGGCGGTTGTGATTGTTAATTCCCAGACAGGGCATCTCGTGGACCTATCTTTAAAACAAGGAAGTGGGAAGGGAATCACAGCTGCTAGAATCTGGTGGGGTGCACTGGACATTCAAAGTGAAACTATTCAACAAACAATCTGGAACCATAGCTCTCTTCATTGGCCATCTAAACAGGAGGTTGGGAATGACACAACACTATCATTGCATATGCTCAGTCATGCAGTAGTACAGATCAAAAGGATGGCCCAAGCATTGAAGTTAAGAGCCAGAACGCAATGTGGTACTGGGAAGGGAGAGGAGCTCGAATGAAGATAAAGTTGATAGTCAAGGCTGACTCCTATCACCCACCTTGAGGACAAGGTGGTTGTTTAGGGGGGGAGTATTGATAGGAATAAATAATTAGTGGGCCTATTCAATAAATAATTAGTGGGCCTAGTCATTAAAGAGTATGATAGAAAAGACAAGAAGTCTATTATTAGTTAATTAACTAGTTAATAGTTCCTTTTATCCCTGCGTGGATATGGACTATAAATAGAAGGGGGAGTCAGCTAAAAAGAGGAGGCTATTATTGAATTGTTATTTTGGCTTGGAGAGTGGGCTTCTCGAACAGTCCCAGCATCTGTATACCTATTCTGATTACTACCTACTTCAATATTTCACTTTCATCGATCTGTTCTTGCTTCAATCCCTGCGGAATTGTTATTGCTCTGTTGTGTTGAGATTTATACCAGGTTCTATCATGTTGCTTATTTGGTCTTGATATATAAGCGTTGACGTGTATATCACAGGATGAATTTTCATCCAATCAGGTGTTTTTGCATTCCGTTTCTTTTTATTTAGGGTTTTTGTGGTTTTCTTCAGCTTCTTTTAATCTTCTTCATTTTTAACAAGCAATCCTTGGATTTTTTTTACTTACAAACACTAAAATTTGGTCACATCTTCTTTTTGTTTCTTATGAAACATGATGGCCATTATATCATAATTGTGCAGGGAAAAAACTTGAAGAGGACACTTCGGATGAGAATTTTGAAGTATGGAATTGCTCAATAAACTTATGAGACTTATGTTATTTTAAAATCCCCCCTTAATAATGTATAGTAGATACTGAGTTAGCTGGAGCTTTGTTTTATTGAGATTTATCGACACCTATATTAGTTTGAAAAAATACCTATGTAAATACTTTGTTTAAGGGCACTACTTTATTTTCAGTGTAAAATATATATATTGCATTTACTTGAAGGATTTATTGTTTCTCTTGCTATTTTAATAGTGCAGCCAATGGGTATAATTTTATGCGTGATGTAACATATACTTTTGTTTTAAAATTTATTGAGGCAATGTGGATTTATTGCGTCTAAATTTTTTAACAAAAATATAGATACATCTAAATAGCATTAGTAGCAACCAGCAACATATGACATTGTCTCTAATGATATTTTGAATTACTAAAATATGATTATCTCTAAATACATTTTGAAACCATTTTAGTATTTTGCCTCCCATGAGATTTTGAGGCTAGATTTCTTTGGAGACATATTTTTTTGGAGATTCAACTGATGTAAGGAATGGATGTTTAATGAACTGTGTTGGAAAAAAGCTGTCTGAAGAACAACGTCAGAATCTTATGAAGAGGGCAGATGAGGAAGAGGTAAAGGCCACTTTGTTCGGAATGAAAGGTTGGAGCAGCCCGGGTCCAGATGGTGTGCAAGCAGCGGTTTATAAACATTTTTGGAACACGGTGAAACAAACAATCACAGATTTTGTTAATTCTGCTTTGAATACAGGTAACATTCCATCTCAAATGCTTAAGGCACACATGGTGCTAATTCCGAAAGAGCAGAACCCAAAAGATACAAGTAAGTTTCGGCCAATCACCTTGCTTAATGTGATGTATAAGGTAGTATCTAAGCTTTTGGTTAATCGTATGCGACCCTGGATTGGGGAAATTATTGGACCGTTTCAAAGTAGTTTTCTTCCTGGACGTAGTACGACAGATGATATTATTCTTGTTCAGGAGATTGTGCATTCATTACAAAAAAGAAAAGGAAGAAAAGGTGGTTTAGTTATGAAATTGGATCTTCAAAAGGCGTATGACTGTTTGAATTGGCAGTTTCTGGAAACTACGTTATCTGATTTTGGATTTCCCACCGAATTTTCTAATTTAGTTATGAGTGCTATTAGAGGCATGAGATTAGGAATTATCTGGAATGGGGAAGTTTTGCAGGATATCCAACCTAAAAGAGGGTTACGTCAAGGGGACCCCCTATCGCCATACCTTTTCATTTTGGCAATGGAACGGTTGTCGTTTCTTATAAACAATGGAGTGGCGTCTAAGAGATGGAAGGAGATCAAAGTGGGAAAAACAGAGATTGGGGTATCCCATCTTTTTTTGCAGACGACTTAATGTTGTTTGGGGATGCATCGCCTAGTCAAGTTAGAGTGATGTTGAACACAATTGAGACATTTTCTAATGCTTCGGGGCTTGTAATTAATAAAAGCAAATCAAGAATTTTCTATTCACCAAACCTAGACCAAGATTTGATTTCCAACTTGCAGGAAGTCACAGGGATTGCAGCAACCTTGGATCTCGGGAAGTATTGGGGAGTTCCAGTTTTGCATGGCAGAAAATCTAAAAACATGTTTTCTTTTGTCTTGGACCGTATAAGCTAGAAACTTTCATTATGGAAGGAGAAGACACTTTGTTTGGCTGGTAGAAGGACTTTAATTCAAGCGGTTACAACAGCAATCCCGCAACATGTTGTGCAAAGTGTGCTGCTTCCTTCAAATATATGTGCTAGATTAGATAAAGCTAACAGAGATTTTCTATGGGGTAGTTCAGGTGGAACCAAGAGAGTTCATCTTGTGAGTTGGGATGAAGTTTGTCAGCCAAAATCTCTAGGAGGACTAGGGATACGGAAGGCTAGGGAAAATAATTTGGCTTTACTGGCAAAGCTGAGATGGGAGCTTCTTTTTGATAGCCCAAAGCTTTGGGTTAAAATTATGAAAGCGAAGTATATTAAAAACTCATCTTTCTGGAGCTTGGAGAAGAATAAGAGTTCTTCGCACATTTGGAGGGACATTCTATAGAGTCGGGATATCCTTAAACGGGGATTGGGCTGGAAGGTAGGCATAGGGAATGAAATCTCATTCTAGTTTGATCATTGGGTGGGAGAGGGAGCACTTTATGAAGAATTGGGATCACCTCTTGGAGTGAACGCTGGTTTAATTAAAGTTGCTTATTTCATCACACAGAAGGGCTCTTGGAAAATTGAAGAACTAGAATCTATTCTGCCAGAGGAGGATGTAGACCGTGTGAGGGCTGTCCCTTTACCAATTATGGACAAAATTCAAGATGAGCTAGTTTGGAGGTTGACAAACTCCGGTACATTCACCGTAAAATCAGCCTATGAGGGCGGATTTACATATAAAAATGATATGAATGTTGCTTGGATTTGGAAGTTAGGAGCAACCGAGAGAATTAGTGTTCATGTGGCTAGTTATTAAGAAAAAGGCCCTAACAAATGTTGAAAGAGTAAAAAGGAAGTTAACAGAAGACTCAATTTGTCCCATTTGCAATATGGAGGAGGAATCTGTGCTGCACATGTTAAGAGATTGCAGATTTGCTAAGGCTTGTTGGAGACAATTATGGGGAGGTTTATCTAGAGAGGGGGATGTGAGTACGAATGTTGAGGAAAGGGATAGGGAAGGGAAAATTCCTCATGCAACCCGTTTTGCTTTCAATATCTGGCAGATCTAGAAGGCACGCAACACATGAGTTTTTGAAAGGGTTTATCCTGAAGCAAGCTATACAGTGGAATTTGGCCCAAGCTAAAGCGGAGGAATATGCACGAACGACTGTTTTGCATTCCATCAAACAACCTAAAGTAAGTAGAGTTGTTATGTGGCATCCTCCTTGACAGTGAAGGAATTAAAAGGTAACTTTGGTTTTTTTTTTGTCCCGGTTGGAGACCAAGAAAGCGTACTGACTTTCTTGGGGTAGGGGCCACAGAACACCCTACCAGTTTATTTATGAATGAAAACATACAACAAAGAGTAGGAGGATTATACCAAAGCCTACTCAGAATCAAACACGTAAGGATAACTGATTGCATCAAACTTTAAGATACCAACAAAATGATTAAAGTGATGATTCGTGGTTTTTATAGAAATGTTTCTAAGAGCCAAATACTCCGCTGCTCTATTGATCTTTGGATGGATATGCGGGATTGTACAGTTGTAGTTTTTGAGCCTTCTCTTGATCTCTTGTAGCTTGGTCCAGTACTTCCAATGTTGAGGTGACAGTCCTTTCATTCCTTCATAAATGTCCCTATTATCAACCTCAAGAACAAAATTAGACATGTTAGTACTATTAATGTGGAGCAGGGTGTCAAGGATAGCATCATAAGAGGCTATGGTCAGATCATGACTAGTATGAGTGTAAATGGTGTGGCCAAAATAGTTGTCAGATTCATCACGGATGAGTGCAGCAGTATGACACAGTGTAGGGGTAAACTGCCTTGTGGCAATGTTGATTTTGTGGCGACCAGCGGGAGGCTTTGTCCAGGACTTAACATCTAAAGCATTATTGAGCTTATTGGGTTCAGTTTCACAAATGGTGAAAGGGGTATGGGTGGTATTAGAGGGAAAAGGTTTGGCATTGGAAATGGCAAAAATTTCAGTTTTTATAGCATGCACTACCTCAGGGAGATTAGCTCTTTTATTATCATAGAGAAGTCTGTTACGAGTTCTCCAAAGGGTCCAAATGATTATGTTAGGGATAACATAGTTAAAACCCATAATATTACTTTTGAACTCATTGTACCACATCGAAGTATAGGTTTGGATAGAATTAGTATGCCCGGGCTTAAAGTTAAGAAGGTTTTCAAAAGACTTCCAAACTGAATTTGAGAAGTTACTGGACAAAAAACAGTGGTCAACTGTATCACTTGCAGGGCACATTGGACATTTAAACGGACCAAAAATACCAAAGTTTTGGAGTTGGGTTTCAAAAGGAAGTAAACGGTTATCCATTTTCCAAAGGAAAAAAGATATATTTTTTGGAATCCACTTATTCCAAACGAATTTAGAAGAACTCGTAACAATCATTTTGGGCCTAATCACATCATAGGCACTAGAAAAACTGAAATTGCAGTTTGGGTTAGGTTTCCAGAGATATCCATCCTCACTGTCCGTGAAGTGGATTTTAGTATCTTTGATTTTGTCTTTAAGGTACCTAGGAATGCAATTGTTAAGGGCCGGGATCAAACAGTTGTCGGGCAAAGCCTCCCTTATAGTTATCTGGCTAAGGTGGACAGGAATATCATCAAAATGAATATATAAAGGGCCAATGTCACACCAATTAGAAAACCAAAACGAGCTAGAGCCATTACTCACCTTGATGCCGCAGTTCTCCTCAAAGATATTATACACAGAATTTTAAGCCTTACTCATAACCGATCGGTTGTCATCATGAAGAGCATTGTACCAGTTAGCCCAAATACGAATATTATTTCTGCTTTTCCACATCAGTTTGAGGAAAAAGGTTTTTGAATGTGGGCCAAGCTTCTAAACCCCAGACCATTTTCAGAAACAGGGTAACAACACTTATGCCAACTACGCCAAATATGCCTATGATTGTCATCCTTTTTATCCCAAAGAAAATTAGAGAGTTTCCTCTCAATTTTGTAAATGGTATGCCTAGGTAGGGGAGAGGTGGCCATATAATATAAGGGGATAGTGCTAAGAACATGGTGAATAAGAATAATTCTACCGCCCGGAGAAAGCAATTTGTGTTTCCAGCCCGAAAGCCTATTATCAAGTTTAGTTAGGATATGATCATAATAGGAATTAAGGGATCTCCCAGTAAAAATACTAGCCCCCAGGTAAGTAAAAGGGAAAGAGCCTTTTTTATATTAAAAATAATTTCAATATTTACTATAGCATGGCTCTTAGGATGCTTAGAAATGAGGTAAAAACTTTTTTTTTTGCTGATGAGTTGACCAGAGAACCTCTCATACTCAACAATGGTATTATGCAGCAATTGAAGGGTTTTTTTCTCAGCATTAGAGAAAACAATAAGATCGTCAGCAAAAGACAGATAAAAGTCATATGATCGAGATGATGATTAAAAACATTTAAACTATCATAACTCCATATTTCTTACTGCTCATGTATAAACCATGTGACATTTATAAACCATTTTCAATGATAGTACTACCATTTATGAAATAAGGATATTGGATAAAATTGTGACTTATTAAC